GGTGGGACGTAGAAAGAAACCAGGAACAGAGGTTTTCTCAGGCCAGAACTTATTGCCCTTTCTAGCTTCTGCCATTTCTGCCCCAGCTCAGAGACCACTGATCTTGCTGTGGGTACCAGCATAGGGCCGGGGAGCTTGGGGCTGAACAGAGCTGCCCAGGACCCTCCTAACCCTGTTCTCCACCAAACACTTCCCCTCTCACCTCGCTCCCGTCGGGCACTTCCAGTCTTGTCTGTGGAGGGGCCTTGACAGCGATCACTGTCTGCTCCTTAAAGTTGCTGACAGCACGGATGTCCTGGTAAGTCACATAGGCCAGTGTAGGGGCACGAGAGTCAAGAGAAGTGACTGGTCAAAATTCACACCCTCAGCCAGCCAGGCTGGGGTCCAACCCTCCTCTCCTAAGCCTCTAAACATCTTTTTCTCACTCCTTATATAGCTTAGAAATAACCAAAATCTGTAACCCATTCTTTAATATGAGCTTGCTTGGATCCCTTTAGAAAGCAAATGGGGGTATAAATCATTTTTTAAAATGTTGCCTTTTAGCAGTTTTTTACATAAAGGCTTCATTTCTCAACTAGATCATTAGTTTTGAGAAGACAGAAAGACGTTTCTTATTTATCTAAATTTCTCACAATGCCTAACGTCCTTCCAAAAATACAAGGGTATATCCAAAATACAATCAGATAGTGAAACCATTTCGGAATAATGTATGAAAAGCCTTAGCAAAGTCTATGTTCTGTGACTTCACCATTTCCATTCTAGGAATCTGACCTAGGGAAATAAGGAAAAAAAAAAAAAAGAAAATGTCCTGTATGCAAAGGCATTCATCATTTTGTTGTTTTATAAAAGCAACCTAGGGAAATAAGGAAAAAAAAAAAAAAAAAGAAAAGAAAATGTCCTGTATGCAAAGGCATTCATCGTTTTGTTGTTTTATAAAAGCGGAAATCTAGAAATCCATCTAAATGTCAATTCTAGGCCTTATCAGCAAACCGGAGGGGAGTCTGAGTAGGATATTCTCAACCCATTTTAAATACGAAGTTAAACCATGAGATTGCAGATTAAAAGTGGTCCAATATCAATAATTTCATGTGAATCAGCCATATAGTTAGGAATGATTTATAACATAAAAAATGTCTATGGTAATACACTGACTAGAGAAAAACAGGATATAAAATGTTATGTACAACAGTCACACACTGAGTTTAAGTAACACACACCCTGTGCATAAAGGACAATGGCTGTGTTAAGGTGGCAGCTATTTCGTTCTTTTCTCCATTTTCAAGATTTAAACAAACGTACTTGTCTTACTTTTATAATGAGAAAGTAACTTCGATAGACTCAAGTAGAAAAGCCACCAAGAAAGAAAAGAATAGATATGCCAGACTCAGAGGATGAGTTAGTCCCTGTATGGAGGTACTGCATCAGCTCTGGATAGATATGAGTATGTAACAGCCCCCTGCTCCCTGACCCCTTCTCCCAACCAAAGAGGATATCTCTTGTTGGCCTTGTCCTCGGTCAGTTGTGTGAAGTTCAGAGAGCAGCTCTGGATGAGCTCGTCCAAGGCCTGCTCCATGCTCATCAGCTCCTTCAGCTCCTGCCCCAGCTGCTGCTGCTTCCCAGGCCGGGTGGGGTCTTCAAACATTCCCCTGCTTCTGGGAACAGAGCAGCCCCCCAGTGTCGGTCTCAGTCCACACCTAAGCACTCCGGCCCCAGGGCTGCTGTGCAGAACTGCACAGATGGTGCAAAACCCCGGGATGAGGCCACTCGCATGGTCTACGTGGTCCTCCTGGGTTGTGCAAATCAGAGGTCCTGTCTAGCACCCACGGAGCTGCCAGGGACTGGGACTTGAAGTTTGGGGGTTACTAGAAAAAAGAAACAAGTCAGGCCATGACCTCACTTTGGGAGGCTTTCAGCTCTTTCCACACTATGCCCTAGCCTCCTCCAAGTGGCAGGGAGCTGGAGTGACCTCAGTCCTGACCCTTGCCTGGGTTCTCTTAAGAGATCATGCCTGGGGCTGAAGGTCTGCTCTTTAAGACCTTGTAGGAGTGAGGAGAAGAGTCTGGAGTACTCATATCTCAGAGCTGGATGGAGTCTGGGTTATTACCATTCAACTTCCAGAGGACTTTCCTAAACTATAAGAGGGGAATCCTGGGACCCTGGCTCAAGAGGATGGAGTCCTTCTAGGCCTTTACACATCCTAGAAATCATTCTCCGCCTTGCTCGGGCCATGATCTCTTAATGTTACCCAAGCATATACACCTGCTCTTCCGCCCTGCTCTTAAATACATTGGCTCCGCCCCCAGCACTTGTGCCCATTGGATGTTGCTCTCAGCTCCGCCCCTGACATTCACACCCACTCGATATTGTTCCAGGCTCTGGCCCCCAGCACTTGCTCCCATTGGTGCTATCTGCTCCAGCCCAGGCACTTACACCCACTGGATGTTGTTCTTGGCCTTCTTCCGGATGAGCTGGATGCCCTCTAGCACATTGGTGATGTCATAGATGCGCCGCTTCTGCACATCTAGCACCTCGGCAGCCCAGTTCAGGTCCAGGACCCCATCCTTGGACTCTCTCAGGAGGTAAATGAACTTCTTGGTGAGCAGCCCCAGCGACGTATCATACCGAGTCTTCTCCCCGGGGGACTTGGGGGCTGAGGAGAAAAGGGGCCCCGTCCACTGGTCAGAGAGGGCCAGCCTGGGGAGGGAGCCTCCTCCACTGACCTGGACCCATTAAGTACCACCCTGCACATGAGCACCCACTTTCCAGTTACAGAGCACTGTGAGGCAGGGGTCATTCACCACCATTATCCAAACTGGAAGCCTGACATCTAGAGAAGAAATGTGATTTGCTTCAGGTCTCACAGTCAAAGGCCAGTGTCAGGGCGGAAAACCAAGTGTCCTGACTCCTGGTTTAGAGCAACTTTCCACCACAGCTTAGGGCAGCCATATCACCACCAATAAGAAAAGTTTCCTGTGTGTACGTCACTGTTCTAAACACTTTCCCATATACGACAAAACTAATCCTTACAATACCCTATAAGTTTGGTGTATGACCATCTTCACTTTATAGATGAGAATACTGAGGCACAGATGGGTTAATTTGCTCAGCTCAGCTAGAAAGTGGCAAAGCTGGGATTTAAATCCAGACAGTCTGGCTCTTTCTTAACCATTACCCCATCCTACCAGTTATGTCAGGAATTTGGAATTGAGGTCGGGAGGGAATGAAGAGCTTGGATTTAAGAACATTTTTATAGACTTGCCTTTTCTTTCCATCTGTAGCCCAATGGTTATCTGAGAGGAATCAGTTCTACAATATCAAATAAGGCAGGTTCATGAAAACAGCCTCTTTCTTAATGAAGCTGATGTCACAAGACCACATCTCAGCTGCAACATCTTAAACCACAAGTGGACTTTTGCAATCAAGTGACCTGCAAGTCATATAGCATGTTAGTGGCCAAACTAGTTCAGAAAACTAAGTTTTAGAGAGCTTCAGATTCCTCTAGAATGGGGACTTTAAAATCCCCTAACATATAGATGACAAGTACTTGGCACACAGACTGGTTTTTCAACTTTTTGCACCCGTGGCAGACATTACTAACCGATCGGGGCACTTAGGATCCTTCGATAAAGAGCTCTGGGCAGCCTCTCCCAAACAAGTGGAAAGGAAACTTTCTTGCTATTCTTGACCTAACTCTACCCCGTTTTGAAGATGAGATGAGTAAGGTTCAAAGAAGAAGAATGAGTCAGGTCAGGGCACAGCCCTGCCTGGACCCCCAAATTCCTGACTGTCATGCTTCCAACCCAGTCACATACCTTCTTCATGAGGTCTCTGATCCCCAGAATTAGCTCTTCTCCCTAACACAGGTACTGAAACTCCCACTCTAACCAGAATATTGACTGAACATTTCAAGAAGCAGAAATTTCCTCCTACTTAGCTTTAGGAAGTCACCACCTGGGCAGCCTCTGGATCTTAAAGAACTCTGAGGTGGCATGGGTTGGATGAATCCAAGCTTCGCTTCTCTGCATCTTTTAGCCTTTTGTCTGCATGTAGGAGAATGACCCTGCTCCTCTATGAGCTGGATTCTCTCTTTTAGAAAAGGTCATATTGAACGAAATATAATAACTTTTTTCAGATAGTAAGCTCCCAAATAAATTGTTGGTCATCACACTTAGATCACAAGAGTGGTGTGTGGTGTGAGAAAAGGAGTACAAGACTAGATTCTAGTCCTGACTCTGCGTACTAGCAGTGTGACCCTGGGCCAGCCACTCAAGCTGAGTCTTAAGTTGCCTCATCAGTAAAAGATGGGCAATCCTACCTACCTGGCGGGATCCAGTGAGAGAACACACAGGAAACTGTTCTATAAACCGGGAAGTATACTACAAATATTACTCCTGATGATTTGGGCAGGGCTGCTGCCCTCTGCCCCTGCCTACCCCACCCTCAGTTTCCTGAGCCCTCCCCAGAGGTCTCATCAGCACGGCTTACTTTGGGGGCTGGGGAGGCCATCCACTCTAATGCACTTCCCCTTGGGAGTCCGAAATTCCAGAACCGCAGGCCTCCCGATCCCCTCCAGGTCCAGCTTCCTTTTGGCCTTAGAGAGAGAGGGAAGAGAGGCAGAGTTTGAGAATCATTCCTCCTTCAGCCTTTCTGCAACCTGGAGCCAAAGCACTGAAGTCACCAGCAGCTACCTCCTGCCTCAGTTTATCATCAGTCCTGGTAAAACATCACTATACTTGGTAAGGAAATATCAATGACCTGAAAAGTGAGCTTTCAGGGAAAGGAAGTCCTATTTTCTGAGAGGCACACAACACTTCCATCCTGAGGCAGAGGCACTTGAGACCCTACCAAAGCCAGTCTGGCCAAAAGCTCAGGGTTCCTTAATAACAGGCCCCAAGGTCACTTCTACATCTGTACTGCCCCCCTCACTCCCATGCAGAGGATGATGCAGGCAGGAAGGATTGGGTGGGGCCTAAACCACATCAGACTGAGGAGAGGCCTCCCCTCAGAAGCAGCTGGCCCAGCCAGACTGAGTGCCCATCACAGCTCCACAGCTGGCCCTTATCAGGGTGGGTCTGGGCATCCGCCCAGGCCCAGGGGACTTCCTGGATCAGTGCCACACCCCAGGGAGGTGCCCACATCGGGAAGCAATACAAACATCCCCCACCTCCATGTTCGGGTTCCAGCTCGAGGGCCCCAGGGCCTCCTGAATAGACTCCATTTGCCATGCTTTCTTTGCTGAGAGGGGCAGACAATGAATCCTTCCCCTGTGTCTTAAGGATAAGCAGCTGAGGTCCCCCTGCTCCCCCTCCTTGTTCCCGCCAAGCTTGGGAAACACCTGCTGGGGAAATCAAACCACAGACCCATCTGTTCCTCTCCACCCCATTGCCACCCGGCCCCAATTAGGCCCAGAAGCTGCACTAGCCCGGAAGGGGCCTCTCTCCTGGTTAGGGCTGGGCAGGGCTAGGGCACAGGGGTCAGAAACCCAGGCTTGCGTCTCCCAGCTCCTTCACGGGCTTACTGTGTGACTTGGGGAAATGCTCCACATCTAGGAGCCTTAGTTTCCTCTTCTGTAAAATGGGGCAGAAAATAGCTCCATCAAGGATTCAAGGAGATAACTTCTGTAAAGAGCTCAGCACACAGTGGTATTCAGGAAGTGCAGGGTCCCTTCCCTAGAATCCAATCTCAGCCTCTTGACACACCCTTCTGGGGGTCGCTGAGCCCATTTTCTTCCTCTCCCCTTCCCCCAGTCACCCCTACCCTGGTTGGGACAGAGAGGCCTATTTTAACCTTTGGTGGTGAGGTCATGCTCGGCAGGGCTGAGACTTCTAACCGCTGCTGAGCACAGCTGGGCTGACAGGTGTAGGAGGTGATGACAGTTCTTCCTGCTGTCAGCTCTCCTCTGCACTGCCCCCCCCACCTCCTCCAGGAAGTCTTCCTGGACTGATTTGAGGGGCCCTGCTCCTTGGTTTGAGGAGCCTAGATATGATATGTCTCTCCTCCACACCTACCCAGACCTGGACGCGATCCAAACAACTCTCTGCCCATTCCTCTTGAAGTCTCTCTGAAATATTTCTTCTCTAACCTCCCAGCAGAATCTAGGTGACTTCCTAGATTCTAGGGAAGGTGACCTGCTCTAGCCCCATCTTATCGTTAGAGAAAGACCCAATCATTCGCTGAGACCTTCCACATGCCCTGGGACAAGCCCCAATATTCATCACCTCATTGAATCATCCCAATACTACCAAGCCCCATTTTACAGCTGAATTAATGGTGAGCTCCAAGGCCTTTATCAAGCCCGATTGAGGTTATTGATCCCAGAATCCTTCATTCCTCAAAAGGACTGCCAAGGGCAGAGAGAAGAAGGGAAGTCAGCCTAAGGCAGAGCTGGGGCAACCCAGAATTTCCCCAGTCCCATTTACCTCCCCCACCCAACAGGAGCCAGCCCTTGCTGAGTTCATAGAACACACCAGGAAGAACCTCACTACCTCAAGAATGGGGAGGAGGGTAGGACCTTGAACCGAGTACCTGTGCTGGGCCTCTCGTGCTCATCAGTCCTGGAACATCAGTACTGGCAATCTCTCTTGGCCGATGAGAAGTAGAGTCTCAGAGAAGTTAAGCCGTGTGCCCAAGGTCACACAGACAAAAGCAGAGCCATAATTTGAACTCGGGTCTGTCTGATTCCAAAGCCACATACAAGGCTGACTCAGCTCCATCCCACACACATTCCCCCAGAATTTGCTAGAATTTGGGCCAAAGCCTGGCTACACCCACCTGCCCCCATCACTTTAGGCACACGTACCAGCCCCCTCCCTTCTCTCACTCTCCCTCACCTTTATCCTGCACTCTCAGAGGCCCTAAGCAGCAAAGTGCCCCCACCCCCCATCAAGAACATCTGACACCTTTGGGCACTGCTCAAAGAAAGGTCGGCTTGTGGATGGGCCTGAGCCTGCAGAACAGAAGTGGCAAAGGACAAGCACAGCAGGATGAAGACCAAAGAGAGGCTGAGCACAGGCCTTGGAATCAGATCCATCTGAGTTCCTCTAGCCTTCCCACCCCACTTCTTAGCTGGGTGAGCTGGGCAAGTCAGTTGACCTCTTGAGCTCCACCTGTAAAAGGGGGATAATCTGCTAAACTTCTGTTGAGGATTCAGAGAGACAGTACGGCAAAGAGCTTTGCTCATGCAAGGGAGCTGCTATCACTAAGGTGCCAGGGGCTCCAGCAAGGAGGAAGCTCAGAGGCAAGCTGAAAAGATGGGGATGTGTCGAGAGCAAAGGTCTGGGACCACACTCAGGCCAGCTTGGCTCTAACCTGGACCATCTTAGACAGTCCCTTTGGCTGTTTCTTAAAAACCTGGTTAATATTTGAGGCCACCCAGCCAATCCTGAGGTAAAAGAGCTTAGCCCAAGGCATATGGAAGGTCTAAGCAAATGATCGGGCCCTTCTCACTTCCTCAGGCAGCCCCAGAAGGGAGAGGGCCAGAGCCCACCAGACACAATCTCTCCACAGGCAGCAAGGTGAGGAAACCGGGGCTTGAAGAAGGGGAAGTGACTTGCCCAAGGTCACACAGGGAGTGGAGCCAGGCCTCCTAAGCCCCAAGTCCTAAGTTAGATGGTGGAACAAGTGTCAGGTGCTGAGAGCCTCGCTTCCAGACCCTCGCTGTGCCACTGGGCCGCCTGGGATTTGCTGCCTTGTCTCTCTGAGCCTACATTTCCTCATCCGACCCACCCACCTTGTTGAGTTGTTCATTAAAATGTTCATTTTCTTTCATGGTTCTCAGAGGAAATTTGGAAAATAAAGATAAGTTAAAAGGAAAAGAGAACTGTGCAGAATCTCACCCTCTTCACAGGCTCCTGCAGGGATGAAAGACAATGATGCAGTGTGCCTGGCTGGAGTAGAAACTCAAAAAAGAGTGCCCAAGCCTTCTCCAGAGAGTGGTGGAAACAGTACTAGACAACGGGTGAGGAGACCAGGGCTCTGGCCTTCATTCTGCCATTGAACTTAGTTGCCATCCCCAGGCAGTGCCTGAGGTCCCTTTAAACAGCAGTTTGTTGACAAATCCTGCTCACTCTGCACTTTGCAGCCTGGCCACAAAGTGAGCGGCCACACCCAGGGTTGGGTTTGGAGCCTCTCCAGGTCACACCCGGGTAAAATGAGTAAGCAGGGGGCCAAGGCCTGCCCATGGGGATGGGAGACCGGGCATCTGGGGGCTGACAAGAGAAGGGGCTCTGGGCTCACTAGGCCTTTAGGGTGGTCTGATGCAAGGAGACTCTTCCACCTTTTGGGTTGTGACTTGGAAAAATGACTTCACGTCTCTGCTCAGTTACCTCATCTGTAAGATGCCTCATCCCAGGCTTTTTGACCAAGATAACGAATGTGAAGAGTGCCAAGCAGTGCCTGGCACATGAGAGGCGTTTAGTAAAAGAGAGCCATTCTTGCTGTGATCACTGAGTCCCTCTGGGAGGGAGGTACAAACAGATGCACTTGGGCTCCTCTGGGAGGAACGCAGTTCAAAGCCACAGCTGTTACTGAAACTCCGCCTGGGTGCCTGAAAGCAGCTGGCCAGAGGAGACCGGGCCAGCCACTGAGCCCCTTCCGGGGGGGTGGGAGGGGCACCCAGCTCCTAAGTCAGGCAGTTCTGGAGAAAGTCAAGGTTGCAGAGAAGAGACTAATGATCACGTGCCTATGGGTCATACGTCTCCCTGTGTGACCTTGGACGGGTCACATTCCCTCTCTGAGCCTCAGTTTCCCCCTGCAACATACAGCTACTAATGCCATCTACTTCACAGGGTTCAAAACAGTTTCAGGCTGTAAAATGCTGAACACAAGATGGATACTCAGTCTGTTATCCTTGGCTGCTTGACCTGTAGAATGGGACTAGCTCTCCTGCCTACTTCTTCCTAGCTGGAAATAACATGCGGGAAAGGGCTCTGGGAAGTTTAAAGCCTTGGACATGGGCAAAGCATGATTCCAGGAGCAGGGAGTGGGGGCTCTGCCCGCATCCAGAAATGGCTGGGGGTCTGTGCCTGTTGACTGACACAGGTCTGACCAGATACCTCTAGGGGGGTAGTCTTATCCCTGTACCTGAATTTATTCGCCACTCATGACTAAGTAAACCTCAAACACCCCTGTCACCTTTCCCAGGAGCTGGAAGTGATCTGAGATGAGTTAGCCTTAGATACTCCATACACACAAGCAGACAGCTAAATGCAGGAAAATGAAGAAAATGAAACTGAAGCCCAGACTGGGGCCAAGACTTGTCCAAGGACACAGTGAATCAGTGGCAGTTAAGAGCAGAAACCAGGCTCTCCAGCAACCACCCCCAACCCCCTAGGGCTTTTCCCACTCCACCCCCACAGAACGGTTTAGATTCTCACGGGCTCCATCCAGGAATTCCACTCTCACGAAACATACCCTGCGCCTAGTGCCACTACACTTTGGGTCCTCCCCAGCAACAGGCCTGAGGGCTTGAGGAGGAAAACAGTCAATCAGAACAGGAACTCCAGGGAGCTGCCCCCAACTTGCACCTGCTACTGGCTGTCTGAGAGGGAAGACTGGGCCTGGGGGAGGACCTAGGGAAGATAATTGGGAAGGAGCTGGCTGGATGGAAAATTTGGAGTCTATCCAAGCCAGACTGGACCTGAGACCATCTTCCATTTTAAAGTCTCCACACTGTCTCTGTGCCAGCACAAGAGCAGGTCTCAGTAGCTGGGCCAAACAATGAATGAAGAATGAATGAATGACAGCAAAGTTGGCTCCCTGGACTTCCCCAAGGTCACAGGGTGCACTGGGGGTAGGGGGTCGGGTCTCCATACTCCCAATCCAGTGCTTATTCCACTCCGTTCCAATGGCTAAGGTTATTTCATCCCAATTCTGAAGATGAAGGGCTTTTCTACTCAGATATTGGGGCAGTGGGTTGTTCTGGAAGCTGAAAGCTCCCCTTTTCCCTCCCCAAACTCGACCTGCTTCACTCAAACTGGGTCCCAGGCTCCCCTCCCTCCTTTCCCACACTCAGAAAGCACAGGGGGAAGTAGTGGAGGGGGGGGTCCCCAGAATTACCGGCAGCCGCCCAGCCGGCACGCATCGCACAGCTTGGCCCTCCGGTCCGTGGGGGGTGGCGTCCAGGCAGGTGCCGGGCGCTGCAGCGGGAGGCACAATCTGTGGGTACAGCGGGGTGTAGTAGGTAGTGGTGACCGGGTAGAGCTGGGGGCTGCCGAGGCCGGGAGGCCACAGCTCGGTGGGGCTCATCGCAGGTAGCCCCTTCAGGGGTGGTCCAGCGGCCGGAGCCAGGGCCCGGGGCCCTCGAAGCATGGCGAATGCAGAGCCCCCTCCCCTGGAGTGCCCGCTGGCACCTGCGAGCTCCGGAGCCCGCGGCGGCTCACACGGCGGGCGGCATGGCGCGGAGGCCTGGGGAAGCCGCCAATGGACGCCTGCGGGAAAAGGCCGGACCCTCCCCTCCTGGCCTGCCGCCGAGCCGAGCAGCGCTTGAAGATTCTCGCTTTGAGATCGCACGGCGGCAGCGGCGGCAGCAGTGCCAGGGGCTGCCCCGCCCCAAGGGCGGCCGCGACCCGGGAGGACCCCACGCCCCTGAAGGCCTCTGAGCTTGGGGTCCAGCCCGCTCCGGGCAGGGAGTCTCTGGGGTGACCGCAGGCTCGACGGAGACGCGATGCGCTCGGACGAGGGTGAGGGGCCGATTGCACCGACTGCCACTCGCCTTGCTCTTTAGTTCCCAAGCCTTTCTCTGCCTCTTTTTTTTTTTACCTTTTTTTTTAGCGCCAAACTGCGTGCCGCGAAATTCGGATCTCCCGCGGAAAATGCTGCGCTTCCGTTGGTCGCTGCAACATGCATAGGCTCCACCCCTCGGAAAGGACACCTCCCCCTGGCGGCGATTGCAACACGAGCTTTGCCGCTTAAAGGGGCCGCCACACCCGCTGTCACCCGCGAAACAGATTGATAGGGTGGTTCCCGTACAGAGCAGAGGCAGCTGAATAGTACGGAGCGCTCTGGGGAATGGGTCCGAATTCCCTAGGGGTGAGGGGAAACGTTTTGGCGCAGAGTCCTCACCTGAGTCCGGATCCAGCAGTACATTATCCAGGCTTCAGGCAGGGTCTTTTGTTAGTTGGCATGGTTGCTCAGCTAACATATATACATTTCTATCCCTTTTCCCACAAAAATGAAAGCCAGGAACTTATTCTATTCCTTGGCAGGTGGGCGAGGGGTGGAGCCTACCATTTATACCTCTTACTAGGGAGATACCAATATCTATTGAGTGCCGATAATATGCCAAGCACCATGCTCGATGATTACACGTGTCGTTTTATTTAATTTAATCCAGCAATTTTAGGAAGAAGAATGAAGATCTTCGTGGTGAAGATGAAGTCAGAGAAGCTAGGTAACCTGCTCCAGGTCACACAGAGAGATCTGCTGATTTGAGAACTGGCAGTCCAACCCGGGACAGGCCAGCTCCTGATCCCCTGTTTGCTCAAGGAAAAGGTTCCTCCCCAATTCTCCCAAGCTGTCCCCTACTCCTTGCAGGTATGGGGGAGAGATGCAGAGCTCTGTTTTGTTCACAGTTGTATTCCCAGAGCCCAACACTCAGTAAATATTTGAATATCTCCAGGTTTGTCCTAAACAATCCTTTTGTCACAAGAGCCTCCCTCCCACATTCAAAATCTTCATCATCATTGACATTTACATTCCTCTTCTCTCCAGTTTACAGATGCCAAGGCTCAGAGAAGTGACCTTGGCTAGTGAATGACAGAACTGCTAGAAGCTGCTGCTAAATTCCGAGTCTGCTGATTCTTGCCTGGTGCTATGCGATTTTTTGCATGTCTGAGCCTGTCGTTTAAAGCCCTTCAAAGTCAGTCTCCAGCTTAATATCTGGTCCTCATCCTCAGATAGTGAGGCTGAGGTGGCAGTAATACATGGTGATTAAAAGCCCAGACTTTGTAACAGGCAGCCTTGGGTTTAAACCCAGGCCCTATCACTTTACTAGCTGTGTGACCCCAGGCAAGTTTTGTAAATTCTCTGAGCCTAGGTTTTCTCATCCCTATAAACACCTACCTCATAGGATTCTGGGGAAATCTCAGGAGATAATACACATAAAGCTCTTGGCATAGAGCCTGGTTCATAAGGAACCTCAAGAAATGGCAGCTGTGGTTATATCTCTGGCCTTATCTCCAGTATATAGACCCATTCATCATTCCAGTCGACATATTTCACTGGTCCTTCAAGGCCCAGCTTAAACCTCACCTCCTCCGCGAAGCCTTCCTCGCCTGCCTCCGCTTTACCAAAGTGCCTCTATACTCTTTGGATCCTTAGCGTGTTCTGCCTCAACAAACAAGGCTTTATTTTCATGTCTTGTTTATCAGTTAGGTTCTAAGCTCTCTCAAGGGATCGGGTGGTATCTCTTTCTGAATGCCCCTCAACATCTAGGGCTGGGCTTTGCATGCAGAAGGTGGGTAATAAATATTCGTTATATAATTCACTCATCTTTCCGGCAAAGAGTGGCAAGGAGGCCCCGATTCAAGTCCTACTCTCCAGTTCCTAGCTGAGTGACCCTGGAGGAACTGCTCCTCCACCTCTCAATCAAATAAGGATAATGCTTCCACTCAGCCTATTTCACAGGACTTCATAGACACTATTGAAATGGTGGTGGTGATGATGATAGTTAACATATATGAGAACCTACTGTGTGCTGGGCTCCGATCTCTTGGGCATCTCCCCTGATCTTCACAGCACCCCCTTGAGACAGACACTCTTTTTATCCCCATTTTACAGAAGTGGGAACCTGGAAGGAACTGTGGCAGAGCAGGTTTGGGGAAGGAGCAGGGCCCCAGGGCCAGGAAGGGAAATGGGGGTGGCAGGGCGGGGCTGAGAGGAAAGAAGGGAGCCAGCAAGGGGGTGGGAGCCAGCTCTCTGTGGTTGAGTTTCGGGCAGCTGTGGCTGGCTTTAGAGTTTCACTGCCTGGGAACTAATTCCTATAAAAGGTGTGGGGCACAGATCTGCAGTCTGTCTTCTTGAACTTGAATTCCTACCTCATCCACCCCTAGTATTGTACTCTTGATCAGGCCACCGACGTACTAGAGCCTCAATTTCCTCATCTTTGAAATGGAAATGGCAAAAGTGACCTTTCTATTTACTGTGTGGATTAATAAGGTGTTGGATATAAAATCCTATAAGGAGCATGCATAATGGGTACTTAGGCTGAAGTTTGTGAGATGAACCAGACGGGGCTCTCACATAGAACCGAACTGAAATACTTGCAGTTTTTCATTCATGCCTGTGGATTGAAAAAAAAGGGATTCTATGGAAAGTAACCTCACAGGGTGATCTGATCATAGATTCCTAACTGGGCAGGTCATAGTGGAAGCCACGCCCCAGGCATATAACTTCTTTAGTGAAGGGTTTTAAGCCAGCCTTGTCTATTGTTCTTGTGTATTTAGGTTAACATACCTTTGAAAAACCAGAAGCAGGACCCAGGCTCTCTCTTCACCTTTGTCCCCTCCTCCCTGAGAATGCCAGGCACATAGTAGGGCTGTAGTCAGCTCATATTTCCCAGGCACTTTCTCAGTGTAAAGCACCTGGCCAGGCACTTTACATGTATTATTATGTTGAAACTACCTTATACCATAAGTACGATTTGGACAAATGCGGAAACTGAGGTTCAAACATATAAAGGGACTTAACCAAGAGTTGATTAAAGATGAAACCAGGATCAGAACTCAGCTCTCTGTCTCCCAAGGCAGTGAGCCATTTTGAACAAAGAACTTAACCCCAGTACCCCACGTAAAGGAGAGTACGTTCTGCCAATGAACCAGGGTCCTAGTGTTGCAAGAAGCAACACCCAATGGAGGAAAATGGACACTCAGACGACTTTGTTAGAGGAAGGAGAATTTAATGCTGGTGGAGAGCGTGGGGCTTTCAACAGACCCAAAGCACGATCTCTCCTTGGTTAGATTTCTTACAGCTTATATACCCTTTCAGTGTCCATGCAAGGGGCGCATGATTCCTTTGTCTGAGGTTTCATGTTTGCTTCATGACTCAGGATGGGAAGGGGAGCTTCGTGTGGGGGGCTGTAAGAGGGTAGGAATTTCCAGACCACTGGTCTTACAGGTCGTTTGTTTTGTGACCTTGGCATTATCAGCACTGTTATAAGATTCTCAAATAAAGAGACGGTACATTGAGGGTATAAGTAGGAAGCAACACTTATTAATGCCAGCACCTACTCAGCGAATTCCTATCCAAAGGCTGAGCCCTGATTGTAACATAACAAGCAGTTTCATACAGTCTTGTTATTCCTACACAGCTACAGAGATAAAGAAGGATATTAGTTGGTTGGCAAGCTATGAATTAACAGATGAGAGCTGGAGAGTCCTGGAAGGGGGAGAGAGGGCAGTTAGGAATGGGCTTTAACTGGCTAAGTTAGTCATTTCTGCAAGCCTTTCCCCTGCACCCTATCAGATGCCTGCTCTCCTCTCTCAGTAGTGCTGCAGACATTGTTGCGCCCCACAACTAGATAAGCTACGGAGACATAGTCCCACATCCCAGATGAAGAAGTGAGGCATGGGGGACCTTAAGTGACTTGCCTGAGGTTGCACAGCTGGTAAAGGAGGAAGCCCCTGTTCCAGCAAGACCTAAAAGCCCTGGAAAAGCACCCCAAAGCAAACTTCCATTCCAGCTGGACAATTCTCCAAAGAAGACAGAGAGAGATCAAATAAGTACATTAAAAGATGCTCAACATCATTAGTCATTAAGAAAATGAAAATCAAAACCACAACGAGATTCACACCCACTGGGATGGCTAGAATCAAAAAGTGTTGGCCAGGATGTGGAGAAATTGAAACCCTCACATATCACTAGTGGGAATGTAAATTGGTGCAGCCACTTTGGAAAACAGTTTGGCAGTTCCTCTAGTTATACACAGAGTTACCGTATGATCCAGGAATTGCACTCCTAGATAGAGACCCAAGAAAACTGACAACAAATGTTCACACAAAAACACGTACGTGAATGTTCATAGTAGCACTATTCGTAAAAACCAAAAAGTAGAAATAACCCAAATGTCCATTAACGGATGAATGGATAAACATGTGGTGTATCCATGCAGTGGAATATTATTCAACCATAAAAAGAAATGAAGCACTGATACATGCTACAACATGGATGAACCCTGAAAACATTACGCTGAGTGAAAGGAACCAGACAAAATGCCACTTACTGTATGATTACATTTATGAGAAATGTCCAGAATAGGCAAATTTGAGATGGAAAGCAGATTAATGTTGCCAGGGGTGAGTCAGTTTCATTTCACAGATAAGGAAACCGAGGTCAGAGAAGCAGAGTTCCACTGTGCCTGCCTATCTATGTGACTTTGGACAGGTGGCTTCACCCTTCAGAGGCTCAGGTTTCTCAACTGTAAAATAGAGATAATGAGGCTCACCTGAGAGAGTAGGGACTCATCTTTATTTCCTTTTCTCTTCTCTCTGGCCGTTTG